GGAACCTGTGGATACAGAAGGCCAATTGTATATATGTATGTAAATATATCTTCCGAATAAATTTGGAATCTGCCCAAGAAGGATATATCCAGTTTTGCTAAATGAATACTCACCTATTTTTTTGTTGTTGTTGTTGGTACCAGGGATTGAACTCAGAGGTACTGAACCACTGAGCCACATCCCCAGCCCTATTTTGTATTTTATTTAGAGACAGAGTCTCACCAAGTTGCTTAGTACCTCGCTTGTGCTGTGATTGGCTTTGAACTCACAGTCCTCCTACCTCAGCTTCCCAAGACACTGGGATTACAGGCGTGTGCCACTGCACCAGGCAAATACTCCCCCTTCTAAGCCTCACTTAAGATTCACCTCCATTATGAAATATTTTCCCAACCAAATTAAATTTCTCTGAACTTTCATTTCTACTTCTGAACAAATGGCACATGGGTTTGGGGGATGGGAGATAAACAGGAAATCTAGATAAAGAAATATGGCTTCTTGCAGGGAGTGTCGAAGGATGGGAGAAGCATGGCTCCCTGTGGTCTGCACTCCTCACTGGAGCCCCTTTCACTTGGCCATGGCACTTTTCCCGGGATGGTAAGGGCATGTATGCATATGTTGTTTTTGCCAGCTTCAGGATCCTTAAATAAAATACACAGGCTAAATATGGAAAAAAGATCTACAGACATGGGATATGAGAGGTGTGAAGACAACACACAATTGGCTGGTACAGTGGTGAATGCCTGTAATCCCAAGGGCTCAGGAGGCTGAGACAGGAGCCTCCTGAGCCCCGATCGTAAGTTCAGAGCTAGCTTCAGCAAAAGTGAGGCACTAAGCAACTCAGTGAGACTCTGTCTCTAAATAAAATACAAAATAGGGCTGGGAATGTGGCTCAGTGGTTGAGTGTCCCTGAGTTCAATCCCAGGTACCAAAAGATTTAAAAAAAAAAAAAAAAAACACAATTGGAGATCAGAGACAGGGACAGCTCAATGTGCTATAGTGTGAGATTGAAGGAAGTTTCCACTGAAAAGATGATACTTGCAGAACAGCAGAGACCAGGAGGAGAGTTCCTTACAGGTAATAGCTTGGTGGTCTTTGCATATCAGAAGCAGAGTTTGTGTTCAGGAATGGTTTTCAAATGAAAACTACGACCCTTAAAATACATTTACTACTTGTCATTCAACTTTTATAATTGATATAATGGGAAATTTTCCAATCAAAAACCCTTAGTTATTATTCAAGGAATATAAATGAATGTGAAACTGATGTTAAAAAGAATGGGAAAGGCTACCCTGTGAAAGTGCTAAAATTCCAATGTGAAACTGAATCACCATTGGTATTACTACATCTAGGTGACATGTCATCTGGACACGGGGAGGTATTTTACAGAAGAAAAAAAAAAAAAAAAACGTGTGAAGAGGAAAGGAAAAGTAGATCCTTGAAGGTCTGGACAGCAGTCTGCCCAGTGCTGTTCTCTCAGTGCCATTGGGGATATAGGGACATTCCGTTTATTATGGGAAATCATTATTATCTGCAATAAAAATATTCATCCTGTAAGTCTTACATAAGAGAGAAAGATCAAACTAAAATGGGTACATAGATTACTCTATAAACATCTTAATGTCTTTGTTTCTTCTCTCTGCCTGTTTATACTGTAATATTAATAAATGCAGCATTTTAATGAGCTTTGACTGAATTACGTTCAGAGAGTTGGTGCAGGATGTTCCTTGGAGACACATAACTGAAGTTTCCAGTTTCTGGAGGGAAGTCTGTTCCTCATTAGCTGGGACAGCTAAGAGCGTGCTTGCTCAGAAGAGTGGGAGCCGCAGCATGAGCCCACCTGTGCCTCAACAGGACGAGGCCTTGTCTCTGCCCTGCTGTGGAGTAACCCCAGGGCTTTCATTAAAAGTGTCAGGCGGTTTCCCCAGAGCAAGTGCTGATGGCATGTCATGTTGGTGTCTCTGGAGGAGCTGCGCTGACACCTACTAATAGTCTGACAAATGGTTAAGTAGCTGTTTCAGCTTGGGTTGAGGAATCAAGCATGCCATACCTGAGCATGGAGTCCAGAGCATGTGTTCGCTCCGTATTCAGTGTTGTTCTATGTTGGCAGGCTCTACCCCATCTAAATCCCCTGCAGAGTACATTTCAGAGAAAACTGGTTTTTAAATAAGCCAGAATCTTTTTGCAGATGGATTTGTGTGATCATTTGATTTTTGACTGTCTAGCATCTAAAATCCCTCTTATGTTCGAGGAGTTTCCCAGTGCATCTGGAGGAGACCATGTCAGAACCCACTTGCATTTAGAAGCTGGAAAGCCTAGTCTCCCTTTCTGAGCTCTGATACTGGGGCATGGGTGCATGGCCAGGCAGATGTTTCATAGGAGGCCTTTGTGCATCAAACAAAGCAAAGAAGCAGGAAAAGAGAATTCATATTAGAAGAAGCCACAGGCAGGATTTAGAGACAGGAGTATCCTATAGAATTATAATATAATATAATACTAGCTATTATAATATAATATTATATTAACTATTATAATATAATACTATGTGCTTAAGTTATTCTTTGGTAGACAGCAAATTTTTTATTCTGATTTTCCAGGCTTTGCACGGGTTCTGAGAGCTGAATTATTTAAATAAATTCTTTTTCTATGAAATTTAGACAGGCTTCTTTCCATTGTTTGCAGTTAAGACCCAAACTCATTCATTTAGTTCTGTGATTTGATTGTTGTCTAGTGGTAACTGACCACTAACGGCATCTAATGGCATTGACTTAAAAGGTTTGGCCAGGTATCCAAGTGTCTAGACTACAAGTCAGTGGAATGGAATCTTCTGTTTCAAACTGAACCTCAACCATTTATCTGCTCTTCTCCATTTTCTTAAAAAAAATATTATCCTCATGAAGGCTCCTGTATACTTAGTTTCTCTCTCAATACGCAGTACCTCAGAGCTCCTAGTTATTAAGTGAATTAGATGTTGGTTCATTGACCTGAATAGCAGGTCAACAGGTCAAGAGGCGCAAGCACTCTCTGCATTAGGCCCTGGCCCAGGACTCCTTGGCATTTGTTGGAGAAGCATCTGTCCTTATGCCCTCAATTAATTTAGCATGCACGGCTTTGTAAAGTACCAATGTGCTGGGGACATAGGCAATGAGTTAATGTTGTAAGGACATTATGGAGCTATTCATTCTTTCCCTGACAGTTCCAATTCTACATTCCCTCTGCCAAATCTGACAAAAGGGAAGAGAATTTTTGGTAGCACTCTGAATTCAACTTCAGACTTAGAGTTGTCTTGCTTTTGTGTGTGTGGTTTTGGAGGGTGTGGGAGATAGGGCAGAAAAAAAGAAGAGATAAGAAGTAAGGGATGAGTTTAAGATATTTTAAGATATAATTCCCAAACTATTTCATTGAATTATATGTCTGTATGTTTCATAGCACCAAAAATGTAACTCACATGGTCTTATAATACACTGAGTTTATAAAATCATACAACATTTTGTAAAAGCAACATTTTAAATCTTAAAGAGTCATTTTTACACTTCTTTTGCACGTCTTCTCACAGCCATGTAAATGATGTAAGTTTTCATAGGCTTTTAATTGTAGAAGAGTAAACATGCATTCTGACCTAAAGAAAGTTTAGGATCTAAGCAGAGATGTGCTCTGTTTTCTCTTTTGTTTCCAGCTGACATATAGTAACAGTGTTATAATACAGGGTGATGTTTTGATACATACAGCGTGTAATAATTAAATCAGTGCACTTACCATATTTATCAACTCATAGATTAATCATTTATTATTGGTGAGAACCTTCAATATCCTTGCTTCTTGCTACTTTGAAATATATTCAATGCAACGTTGTCAACTGTAGTTTCCCTGTTATGCGGGAGAAGCCGGAATGCATTCCTCCTGCCCAACTGTGACTTTGTACTTCTTGATGAATCTTCCCCACTCAGCTGTCACTCCTACCCTACCCAGCCTCTAGTCACTACTAGAGCAGCTTCTTTAGATCTCATGTGAATTGAGATCATGCAGTACTTCTTTCTGTGCCTAACTTATTTAATAAAATTGTCCTCCCAGTTCATCCATGCTGTGGCAAAAAAACTAGGTGTCATCTGTATTATGGCTGAATATTATTCGTGTATGTATATGTGCCACATTTTTTTATCCACTCATCCATCGATGGACCCTTATTTTGATTTTTTGACACTGTTAATAGTGTTACAATAAACATGGGAGTACAAATATTTCTTCAACATATTGACTTCATTCCCTTTAAATATATACCTGATAATGGAATGCTGGATCATGTGATAGATATATTTTTGACTTTTTGAGGAACCTGTGAATTTTATAAGGACTATATTAATGTACATTCCTCCAGCTATGCATCAGAGTTCCCTTTCTACACACACATACTTATTTATTTGTTTATTTATTTATTTAGATAGTAGGGCAAGGTGATAGCTCCATTGTGGCTTCAATTGGCATTTCTCTGATGATTAATACTATTGAACATTCATATATTTGTTGGCCATTTGCATGTCTTCTTTTGAGAATTCTTTTTTTTTTTTTTCAGATCTTTTACCCATCTTTAAATTGGATTATGTGTAGGCTTTGAGGGTTTTTTGTTTGTTTGTTTTGTTTTTGTTGTTGTTTATTTTTGCTATTGAGTTTATTTTTAAAATAAAACAAAGAAGTGGATCCTCTCACAGGTCAAACTGATAGCCCTCCTGTGAGACCTGTATGGTTACTGACTTTCAGCTGTATCTGAGCTGGGTGGGGTATTGTGTATCAGGTCCCAGGTTGTTAAGATGCTAAAAGACCTATGGACTTTGTCCACCTTCCACTTTCCCAAAGAGGGCTTCCAAAGAGCTTTCTAAAAGTCTCACCTTCCTTCTTTCACCAAACATGAAATTTTCATTGTTGGAAAACTACATGGCTTTTGTTTACTGTACTTTTGACCCTTTGTGGACTCATTTGTCATTGACCAATGTCTGTTCTCTTGCCAGGGAAGAGTGATCCTTTTTGCTTATTGGAGGTAGGCAATGACCGGCTTCAGACACATACCATTTACAAAAACCTCAACCCGGAGTGGAACAAAGTTTTTACATTGTAAGTGCTTTAGCCTCTGAAATACAGAGGAGTGGCTTTAACTTAAAGCAATTATCCTTGATATGTTTGGGGCAGCCTGGGGCTCTTGAGTGGAACTTTTTGTCCATTTTTATGTGCAAAGAGTGAATTTTATTGTTTCTTTTTCCTTAAAACCTTTTATACTTTTATTTTATGGAGTGTGGTGTTAATAATAGAAGAGACCATTTGGAACTGCAAGGGAGTGTTATAGAAGGCATTTGTAAAGTAGATCTTTCAAGTGACTAAATTAATCTGTGGGTATATGGAAGCCTCCATGTATCTAAACCAATTAATTCCTCAGTTAAATAAAGTCACAAATGGAGACCTGCCTTAAATTCAAGGAGCTTGTATGCTATAACATTATCTTAAATGCCTGAAAGCTTATATTATGCCAGATTCATTAGGAAATACATATTATTTGTGAATCTTTAATGACTCCAAGAGCCTCCTTGTATTTACATTTCGCTGAATGACCCACTCCATCAAACTTGTCTATTAAGGAGGCAGGATATACTTAATTTTCCTACTTTAGATTTCAAGGCACCTGACCATCAAGGGATGGCCCCTGTTGAATTTGGGTGAAATGATGGTACGTTATCCTCACAAAGCTGAATAAATGCTTAGTCTACAATAGTCAAATTTGCTTGTGTGGATTTGATGATATTAGTAGAAATCTCCCAAGGACCAATGAGAAGTGGATCAGCTCTGCCAACAGGTCTGCCAGTGGCCAGGAATAAGAGTGTCTTGTCTCTCTAACACATTGTCAGTGATCATGGCTCTATTTTCATTTTCACTGGTGTCTGCCTTCTGGTCAACAACAACAACAACAAAAAAGTTTCTAAATATGCCTTGGATTTTTGGCATTTGTGTTTCGACCACAGGAGGCTTTCTCACTATTTCATTAAATGTGAATTTTACCTTTCCTTTTCATTAATTTAAAGAAAATGTGATGCTTACTTTTCTCATTTCGAAGCAACTTTCTGAAATCATTTCCCTTTCCCTCTCACTCTTTCTCTCCTTTATTCTGCTCCTCTAACAGTTGCACCCTCAAGTGCACATCTACATGGAAAGAAAATGTCAGTAAAAAAGTTGACTTGATTTTTTTTTTCATGTGGATGTCTGAGTCTTCTATGATGGAAGGCTTGGGAATACAGTCAGTTTGATTTAATTTTTAGAATTTAATTAAATGGTAGTTTTATACTCTGAGGACACAGACTTAATTAGTGAAACCGTGTTTTCAGATCTTCATGCAACAGACTTTCACTTGTGTGTTTTTGTGTATAAGACCTGATATTTCTTGTTTCAGTCCCATTAAAGACATCCATGATGTTTTGGAAGTGACAGTGTTTGATGAAGATGGAGATAAACCCCCTGATTTTCTTGGAAAAGTTGCCATTCCCTTGCTGTCTGTAAGTTCCCTTCTTTCATCAACAATTTGCAAGTTATTTAACAGTTGATGAGTTTCTGTGATCCAGAGCTGCTTTGTCCTTGTCAGTGCTAGAAAAAAGAAATATTCTTGTAGCTGTAGCAGCAAACTACCATTTTATTCCTTTTCCTTATGTCTGAGTTATAAAGAGACATCATCTTTTCTGTGTCAGTCCAGTATTGATTTAATCAACCACAACATTTTGTCCAGTCTGTCAATTCACTCTCAGTCTTTCTCTCCATTTTTAAGCTTGGAGTTTCCATTTGATTTCAAGGAATATGGATCTACGACTCAGATTTCCATTTATTAATGGAAAACATGTATTTCTTTATACCTCTTTACCCTGCGTTTCCTCAAAATTAAATTGTTGCTAACTGCACATTCATTCTCAGCTCTGTGGAAGACCTTTTATTCCAAAGTTCCATTTGTATTTATTTTTTTTTTACTTGGCCTGTTCATTTTCAGCCTCCAAAAAATATTTTGTGGAAGAAAGCAGAGATGTCTCTTAGAAATGGGAGAGTGTTTCTGTAGTCTGGTTTAAAGAGAACATACTGGGGTCAGCAAAGAGGAAATGCTGAATGAAAAAAAAATACTTATAAAATACAGCAGAGAAAACATCAAAGAAAGCCAAAAACATGGGTAAAAAGGAAAACTACGGAGCACATTCCCCAATCCATTAAATGGACATTAACATGTAGGAGATGAACTGTTCTGAGAGAATTTTATGTTTTTCCTTCAGCTGGCGACATGGTTTGTTGTAGACTATGGCTTCATCAGCCTATGAGATTTTATTTCTTCCCCAAAACTTATTTTTCCAAAGCTACTTGTGCATCTTTGTGGATGAAGCAGTCTGTAATTTAACCATGAGGTTAGTCTAGCTCACACAATGTTTACAGAGAGGGGAACGCTATACCTCTTAATATCTCTTCGTCTGTTTTTGATCGCTTGGTTAATTTCTCCCCAAGTTCTCATATCCCTGATGTTACTCTAAGAGCCTGCAGGAAGCATCTGCTCCCTCGTACAGCCGGCTCCTGCCAAATGCTCCGAGCTGTCGGCAGCAGACTGCGGGGCTCACAGAGAGGAGGTGGTGATTTGGGATTTCCCCCCTTTTTTATTACAGCGTTGTCAGTTATTCCTGAAAGAATACATGTAACAGGAATATGGGGCACACTTTTAGAGACCCTAAAGGTACTAGGAGAAAAACTCTTCTTTACAATTCACTTTCCTCCATTCACTAATTTTTTTGACATTTCTCTTCTTACTTTCATGCATAAATCTTAGTAGCACATTTTATTTCTTGCAAGGTGAACACGTTTGCTAATTTTTTAAAACTCTCCCATTTTGTTTGTGAAAGTTTCATGCCTGTGGTCTACAATTGCAACAACTCACTTAGTCTACTTGCTTCCTTCCCTATCTCTTTTTCTTCCCGCATGCTTTACTTGGCAGATCTAAGAATTTGACTTCAGCTACATCAGGGCTTCTCAACCTTGACACTGTTGACATTTGGAGCCAGAATAGTCTTCATCACATGGAGCTTTCTTGTTGCATTGTAGAATGTCCAGAAACATTTTTGACTTACATGCTTACATAACTTACTTACATGACTTCCAATGGATAGCAGCTGCCACCCACTACTGCTATGACAACCAAAGTAATCTGCAGACATTTCCAAAGATCCTGAAGAGACAGGAAATCCCTCCCAGTGTAGAACCATTGACTTAAACGAATTCATTTTTCAAAACATTCCTCCAAAATATAAGGTGAAATGTTTTGTGGAAGAGCTGGTTGAAATACAAATAGCCATTCATCTTGACTTATTTTTCAGGTTCATGATAGCTTTCCTAAGGTCTGTTGATCATTCTGTCAATAGACATTGATCCAATGTCACTGTGCACCAGGTGCTGTTTTAGGTGACACAGCGCCAATGATTACCACAGGGAAGTTCTCTCCTCACTTGGAGCTTATGACTTCAAGATGTGTAGAAGAGGACACATAAACAAAGTGACACAAATTGTACACAGTGTGCTGGATGGGGAAAAATCAAGCAGAGGGAGGAGTACAATTTTCCATGGCTGGCCAGTGAGAGCCACAAAAAAGGGGACATTTGAAGGAGAATATAGATGAGGAAGTGAGTCTTATGATATCTGGGGAAACTTTCATGCAGGTTTCCTGCTTTGCAGCAGGACCTTGATTGCCAGATTCCAAAAATCCCTGGGTACCACTGTGGATGGAATGGTGTGAGTCAGGTGGAGAAAACTGAGATGCAGAACAGGAAAAGACCCTGGAGGACTTGGAAAGCCAAAGTTTGAAGAACTTGGCTTTTTCCTTTTGGAGGATGAGGAACCACAGGGTGTTTTGAGATACAGAGTGCTTGATTTATTTTACTTTATTTGTTTGTTTCTAGGATAAATGGGCTGTGGCACATCTGGAAATATATGCCAATATGAAAGGTCTTTGCCTTGTGAAGCAGCATGGCTGGTCCTTTTTCCCCTTATGGATTTTGGAGTCCCTGGCACAGTGCATTGAATATGATACTTCAGCTGCTGCCCCTCAGTGTGGCTGATATGATTCAGATTCATTTCTGATTTATTTTTGATTCTTTGATCGATAAATCGGGGAAGCGATCCGACCCCACAGTGTATCCCTGTGCTTGTCTTGACAACTTATGCTCCACCTGCCATTTCCAAATTAATTGATCTCTTATGTTTCATGGAGATATAAATATGTTTTTTTTAAAATGCTACGACCCTCACTGTCACTGGCATACTTTGAGCTGATTATTTCATTGATCATTCTATATACAAGTAATTCTAACTTGTGGTTTAGAGAGTACATTTTAAAATCTACCTATTTAGATCTAGGATTTTTTTCTTTAGTTTATATACTGACTGATGCCTAACTAGCAAACTCTGTGCTGTACACTTAACATATGTTGAATCATTAATTCTCTGATGACTTAATAAAACATGCTTTGTTATTATGCCAATATACAAATTAGGAAACCGAGGCACAGAAAGAATCCTATAGCTGCTGAGTGATGGAAGTAGGATTTTAATTTAGGCAGTTTCATATTAGAGCCTGAGCTTCTAAGAAATGTCAGATGGGCACAGTAAAGACCTATTAAATGAATATTGTGCCCAAAGCAGTAGACAAACAAGACCTCAAATAACAAGGACCCCAGGAAAGGAACTAGACAATAGGAAGTGAGAAGTATGGATGTAAGCATTTAGAAGACAAGGAGTTGGAACTGGGTCAGGAAGGAATAGGGTGTTGGTAGTGACTTCAGTGAGGTCTAGAGGGAAGATCTTCTATGTAGAAGAGATATGTGAGCAGTAAAGCAGAGGAGGGAAACATGCTGGGGCCAGGAGGGGCCTGTGTCTGGAACACAGCATGATTACAGAAGGGGAGGGGGAGGAGGAAGGTTACTCAGGCCTTTGGAGGGTGTGGGGAGGTTTGGCTTATTCTGTCAGCAGGAAGCTGCTGAAAGGTTTTGACCATGGGACAGAGACATCAGTGCAATTGACTAGGAAGAAAATTTTCCTACAATATTAAGCAAATCTGAGAGGAATTCACTGAAATTCCTAGAATTAAATAAGCATTAAAGAAAACGCAAGTATCACATTGTATGCTTCTTAAGAGAAGGACTTATTTTTTTTTTTGGGGGGGTTAATATGAGAAAGTATTATAAAAATGAATTTATTGGTGATTCACTATCATGTCTATAGAATACAGAACAATAATCAATAATGTATCCTTTTATGTTTAAAAACAAATATTTTATTTTAATTTATAATTAACAATTTGTTCCCAATGGAATGGGAACAGTTTTGTGAAAATGAGTTTTTTTTTTTTTTTATTCAAGTCATAAACTAAAATTTGGCTTATGCTTTTGGAGACAATGCAAACTACATTTTTTTTTAAACGTCTAAGTAGAAAGTGCAGAAGGTACTTTAACTTTTAATCTTACTCTAAATGTTAATGTGTTAAGTGCATTTAAGCCTGTTAAATAAAGAGCCTGTTCTAAATTCACTATATCTTTTTAATCAGGGTGAAAGTACTAGCTGACTATTGGTTCATTTAAAATCCATATACTGAAATAAGTATATTTATTAGTGGTGGTGAATTGTTCAAGATGTATATGTACAATTGGTCGTATATCAGGATTAAAAGAATCCAGGCCAGTAAGCCCTCCTTCCATATATTTTATTTCTCTTAGTTTTGAAAAAAATTAATTATTCTATAGAATAATCAAAGCTCTTTAATCAAATACAGGTGATTAAGAACAGTGGGAAACTGAGATTAGACTGCATTACCATCTGAAGACTTCTTCCATGGCTGGTCAGTGAGAGCAAAAAAGGGGACATATATCTCCTCATTTTCACTTTGCTCCTGTACTTTTCTAATCAGTCAATTTACTATATAGTAAACTTACTATATAATAAATACACACAGTGGAAAGCAATAAGCACATTTCAGAGTTTTCAAAATATTTTGGGCAGTAGACATTCTCTTCTAATAATTAGTTGGCTCAGTCGATTTATTTAACATGTCTATCCTCAATTTAAGTGATACTAAATGTGTCTTGAAAATCGGGCTGTATTTTCCTCTAGGTCAGTCCTTTTTATTCACTCATACAATTATTCCCTTAGAGTTATCTAATGGGCCAATTTAAGATGACTAAAATTTGCCTTACGGACTTGATCTGTAAAACAGGAAAAAGCATACATTTATTATTTTCTAATAACCAAGAAAGAATCATCCAAACTTTGAGAGACTGCATTTTGAAACAAACATGAGTCCTTTTGTATGGGTCAGAACAACATGGACACAAGAGTGTGTCATCACAATCTTGGGGCCTTCCCAGTGCCATTAGAAAGCCCCAGCATCCTCAGTGGATTCAGGTACTCGATAAGTAGCTGCACCAACAGCAACTTCACCTAGTTTTATGAGACAAATTTTCTGTAGTTGCTTATACCCAATAAA